GAGAGTAGAGAGTTGAAGGTGGAGAAGAGTCGGCGAGGATTGGAGGAGAGGGCCTTGATGAGGGTCAGGAAGTAGGCTTGTTTGGCTGCGTGGAGGCAGGAGGTGTAGGTGTGGAAGGCAGATATATATATATAGGATCTGCTGTGTGTAGTGGTTTTGCACAGAGCAGCCCAGATCCTTTCTCTTGTCAGGTCCCCCGCAGCCTCTCCTGGCTCCTTCTTACTGTTGGGTGCCCCATAGAAAACAGCTTGCTATGGGGGCACCCACTGCTCTGTGTGTTCATTCACACATGGAGCCCAGGCTTGCTCCCCCCCTCTTCATTGGCTGAATGTGATTGACAGCAGTGGGAGCCAATGGCTCCCACTTGCTGTCTTAGCCAATGAGGAGGCAGAGACCCAGGACAGCCAAGGCTGTCATGTGCATTGCTGGATCACGATGGGGCTCAGGTAAGTATTGAGGGGGCTGGGGGCACTGCTGTACACAGAAGGTTTGCATAGAATGCATGAAGGTAAAACACCTTGAGCCTTTACAACCCCTTTAATATATTTTTTTATTGTTGGAAATACAGTTTCTTGTAAAAGTAATGAGAGCTGCTAAACAGCCACCCGACTAGTTTTACAAGCAGCGGAAGGGGCCCCCCTCCCCACTGTGTGACATTATTTCCGGGCTCTCCTGTCTCACCAGGGAGGCTGCACCGCTGTGGGTGAATGCGCTGGCTGCCGATAGAGACTCGATTGTTTCTAGAGTGTTTGAACCTGGAAGCGACAAGGATTTCATCATTTCTGGTTTTGGCTTTGGAGGGCAGAGACCTGGGGTCTAATAAATTCTAAACTGGTAACCTGCAAAGGCTTTTAGTGTCACCTATGGACAATTTAATGCATCATAATTTGTTGCCACTCCATTATTGTCACTGAAAAGGCTGCACTCTATGATCCACCAGAAAAAAAACAACTGACTCATCCCTGTTTGGGTTTTTATGCCTTTTTAAAGAAAAAAAAAAAAATCCTGGCATGTTCTGTCTTTGACCTATGTATATTGCCATTGTAAAACTGATGCGTTTCTTTTTCTGCTCCAATAAAACATTATGAAAAAAAAAAAACCAAAAGCATCTCACATAAGAACATTGCTTATTCTTACCAGTCCCACCACCCTTACATCTTTGTTCAAATGGCTCAAAACAACTGTATGTCAGGTGATTGCACCCCCAATGTCCTTTGGCCTCTATAGAAGTGTGCCACATGAAGATTCCATGAAGTATTGAATGAAAACTGTAATTCTTACGTACGCGGGATGTGAAGGCTCTAAAAATGTTTCTGTATGCTTTTTTAATAAATAGTTATTATGGGCACTTTGCACTACAAAACATGAAACATTCCAGGAACTGGTAGTAGGCAAGTTAAAGATTATGTAAACCCAACATTTCATATTCCTGATATATGCCTGTTGTACCATGTACTTGTATGAAAAAGTATCCTGTTCTATTTGTATTGCTTCCTTTGAGTGAAATTTCTGATGTCCCTGCCAGTCCCTCTGCTTTCCTATTAAAAACTGACCACGCTGGGGTTATGATGTTGCTCGGTATTGGGTTCTCTTGGACCCCTGCTCTTGGTCTTGTTATCTTTTTCCTTTTGTACTCCTCTTTCCTCTTTCCTTTTTCTGTTTGTTTTTGGTGTGGCAGTGGATAGCTGCCTTTAGTTTGAGTTACTGTCGGTGTTATACTAATATTTTTTGTCATGTATGTGCCATTGACAGCCCCTGAATGGGCGCACCTTTTGCTCTGTTGGTGTTAGAGCACTGTTTTTTTTTATTTTTGTTATGTGCAATTGATAGCCCCTGCATGGACATGTTTTGTTGCTCCTGTCTTAAACTGTTTATAAATTAATAAAAATATTGAAATTGAAAAAAAAAAAACTGACCACGCTAAGCATATGAGCATAGTGTGGTCAGTTATCTAGCTGTGGGAACTCTGCCTGCTCTCCAATGATCACACTACTGCTAACACTCCTATTTATACACAAATGTTTGCCTTTGATTCCTATTTCAAACTAAATGGGTTGTTTTACGAGGTGAGGGTTCATATATACTTTCAGTATGCATGCTGTTGTGTTTTTTTTTTTTTTTTATAAAAAGATGATAATGTCAGTTTAGCACGTGGCCAATATCAGCATAAGTATGCTTAAAGCAGTATTGTTACAAAAAATTTCTATTTTTTTTTTGGTTGGTTTGTGCTGGAGTGTCCAACCACCATTTAGGGCCGGTTCACACCATAGAAACGCAGTCCAGATGCATTCCAGATGCATTCCAGATGCGTTTCCACATGTGTATATTTGACGTGGTTTTGATGCGTTTTCCGGTTCATTTTTTCCTCTCTCTTTTTCTTTCAATTTAAATAGGACCATGTGCGTTCCAATGTGGTTTTGGTGTTTTTTGGTGCTTTCTGGGGAATTTTTGATGTGCTTTACCGCGCATTCCAGTGCAGTTCTGTGCAGGAAAAATGCAGCCTGTTCTACTTTTTTTTTTTCTACAACTGGAACGCACTGGAGCTGCAAGCACTGGTGTGAACTATGACATTGACATCATATGCCCAATTTTATGTGCATTTTGGATGCAGAAAAAAACACACTGAAACGCATGTAGAGTGAACTGGCCCGTAATGTCTATAATCAGCTTCTTCTTACACTCATTCTGGTGTAGGAGAACCCGATTATTTTATATATTTAAAAAAATGTTACTTATGGTAATACTGAATTCACACCTTGTCTGTATAAGTTATATAAAAGAGGAAGGAGGTTTTTGTACGGCTCTGTTTCACTGTGTGAGAGGGAGCTCCTTATCATGCTGACAGAAATACTCGGCTTCATCTTCTGCCAGAACTCCATTGATTGTAAGAGTGAAATCTCTGTATGGAGATCCGGATACTGCTGCTGAACCTGTCCGGGGCTCCAGACTGACGTCTCGTCACCCAATAAAAAAGCAATGTTGGAGGCTGATCTGCTTTCTTCTGGTACCATTGTATACCACTGTCACCGTCTGAATCAGTAACATCAGAATTTGATTTACAATGCATGACCGCCTTCTCTCCTGGAGACACCGATATATATTCCGGAGACTGAGTCAGCACAATCTCTCCATAGGAAGCTTGGGAGGCAAAAAAGTCATTTTAATTAGTCGCAATTATAACAAACAAATATTATTATTATTCTTATATACGGACCACAGTAATGACAGCTTGTGACAATGAAGTGAAAGAAGACATGCAATTAGTCATTATAATGATCATTTAAAAACAGGATTCTAATATTGTTATAATAATGTTCGTTAGTCAATACCTATGAAAGGTTTCCATACCTATAAGAGGATAAAAGACACAGAGTAGGTATGCCAGAGCGATCATCTTGATGATTTTAGATTGTAATATACAGATCACTGTTTTATTAAACTGTTTATATGATGTGAATCCTCCAGGGGGATAACCTCAGAGGTTTTCTATGCAAATAAAGAATATATGCAAATTCCACTATAACAGATCCCTTGTGGCCTTTAAATAGAGCTTTTCACTCTGTATCTCAGAACTTCCAGTGTCATTGGTATAATTTGTGCTTTTGACTTTCCGGATACAAGGGGTGATTACTTCAATATTCAGTCAATGAAATACAATGATTAAACGGAAATATCAACGTGTTCAGGGGCCATTAATTTCAATGAAATCCCCTGAAATCGCAGGGCGATTTTTTTTAACGGCACTCGCGCTGCAAATGCACAAACAAAATCACGATGGGTGTCCCTTTAATAGACGTTCCAGCGTATTCGGGTGCCATTAAAATGAATGGCACCTGAACACACGCTGATGAGTGATTTCACATTTTTACAGTGCAATTTGAAATTGCAACCAAAATCGTGGCGATTCCGCCTGCAATTGAAAATGCTATATGGTAACAGAGCCTCAATGATAACAGTTTAGTACAGTTATTATTCCTGAATACTCCTTCCCTCCAAGACATATTATTATTACTAGAAAAGCTACAATTTCTGGGGAAATTGTGTGAAGTTTTCTTGCCTCCACCATGGTCATCTTGTGAAAACTATCAGGACTATGGCTTAGCCGTGGCATTTTTAGTGGCAGCCGGGATAGCTGAACGTTTTGATTGTTTGTTTGTTTGTTTTTTTTATAAAAAGATGATAATGTCAGTTTAGCACGTGGCCAATATCAGCATAAGTATGCTTGAAGCAGTATTGTTACAAAAAATTTCTATTTTTTGGTTGGTTTTGTGCTGGAGTGTCCAACCACCATTTAGGGCCGGTTCACACCATAGAAACGCAGTCCAGATGCATTCCAGATGCGTTTCCACATGTGTATATTTGACGACGTGGTTTTGATGCATTCCGGTTCATTTTTTCCTCTCTCTTTTTCTTCAATTTAAATAGGACCATGTGCGTTCCAATGTGGTTTTGGTGTTTTTTGGTGCGTTCTGGGGAATTTTTGATGTGCTTTACCGCAATTCCAGTACAGTTCTGTGCAGGAAAAATGCAGCCTTTTCTACTTTTTTTTTTTTCTACAACTGGAACGCACTGGAGCTGCAAGCACTGGTGTGAACTATGACATTGACAACCATATGCCCAATTTTATGTGCATTTTGGATGCAGAAAAAAACACACTGAAATGCATGTAGAGTGAACTGGCCCGTAATGTCTATGATCAGCTTCTTCTTACACTCATTCTGGTGTAGGAGAGAACCCGATTATTTTTATATATTTTAAAAAATGTTACTTATGGTAATACTGAATTCACACCTTGTCTGTATAAGTTATATAAAAGAGGAAGGAGGTTTTTGTACGGCTCTGTTTCACTGTGTGAGAGGGTACTCCTTATCATGCTGACAGAAATACTCGGCTTCATCTTCTGCCAGAACTCCATTGATTGTAAGAGTGAAATCTCTGTATGGAGATCCGGATCTGCTGCTGCTGAACCTGTCCGGGGCTCCAGACTTACGTCTCGTCACCCAATAAAAAAGCAATGTTGGAGGCTGATCTGCTTTCTTCTGGTACCAGTGTATACGACTGTCACCGTCTGAATCAGTAACATCAGAATTTGATTTACAATGCATGACCGCGCCTTCTCTCCTGGAGACACCGATATATATTCCGGAGACTGAGTCAGCACAATCTCTCCATAGGAAGCTTGGGAGGCAAAAAAGTCATTTTAATTAGTCGCAATTATAACAAACAAATATTATTATTATTCTTATGTACGGACCACAATAATGACAGCTTGTGACAATGAAGTGAAAGAAGACATGCAATTAGTCATTATAATGATCATTTAAAACAGGATTCTAATATTGTTATAATAATGTTCATTAGTCAATACTTATGAAAGGTTTCCATACCTTGTATAAGAGGATAAAAGACACAGAGTAGGTATGCCAGAGCGATCATCTTGATGATTTTAGATTGTAATATACAGATCACTGTTTTATTAACACAGTTTATATGATGTGAATCCTCCAGGGGGATAACCTCAGAGGTTTTCTATGCAAATAAAGAATATATGCAAATTCCACTATAACAGATCCCTTGTGGCCTTTAAATAGAGCTTTTCACTCTGTATCTCAGAACTTTCAGTGTCATTGGTATAATTTGTGCTTTTGACTTTCCGGATACAAGGGGTGATTACTTCAATATTCAGTCAATGAAATACAATGATTAAACGGAAATATCAACGTGTTCAGGGGCCATTAATTTCAATGAAATCCCCTGAAATCGCAGGGCGATTTTTTTAACGGCACTCGCGCTGCAAATGCACAAACAAAATCACGATGGGTGTCCCTTTAATAGACGTTCCAGCGTATTCGGGTGCCATTAAAATGAATGGCACCTGAACACGCTGATGAGTGATTTCACATTTTTACAGTGCAATTTGAAATTGCAACCAAAATCGTGGCGATTCCGCCTGCAATTGAAAATGCTATATGGTAACAGAGCCTCAATGATAACAGTTTAGTACAGTTATTATTCCTGAATACTCCTTCCCTCCAAGACATATTATTATTACTAGAAAAGCTACAATTTCTGGGGAAATTGTGTGAAGTTTTCTTGCCTCCACCATGGTCATCTTGTGAAAACTATCAGGACTATGGCTTAGCCGTGGCATTTTTAGTGGCAGCCGGGATAGCTGAACGTTTTGATTTGTTTGTTTGTTTGTTTTTTTATAAAAAGATGATAATGTCAGTTTAGCACGTGGCCAATATCAGCATAAGCATGCTTGAAGCAGTATTGTTACAAAAAAATTCTATTTTTTGGTTGGTTGGTTTGTGCTGGAGTGTCCAACCACCATTTAGGGCCGGTTCACACCATAGAAACGCAGTCCAGATCATTCCAGATGCGTTTCCACATGTGTATATTTGACGTGGTTTTGATGCGTTCGGTTCATTTTTTTTCTCTCTCTTTTTCTTCAATTTAAATAGGACCATGTGCGTTCCAATGTGGTTTTGGTGTTTTTTGGTGCGTTCTGGGGAATTTTTGATGTGCTTTACCGCAATTCCAGTACAGTTCTGTGCAGGAAAAATGCAGCCTGTTCTACTTTTTTTTTTTCTACAACTGGAACGCACTGGAGCTGCAAGCACTGGTGTGAACTATGACATTGACAATCATATGCCCAATTTTATGTGCATTTTGGATGCAGAAAAAAACACACTGAAACGCATGTAGAGTGAACTGGCCCGTAATGTCTATGATCAGCTTCTTCTTACACTCATTCTGGTGTAGGAGAACCCGATTATTTTTATATATTTTAAAAAAATGTTACTTATGGTAATACTGAATTCACACCTTGTCTGTATAAGTTATATAAAAGAGGAAGGAGGTTTTTTGTACGGCTCTGTTTCACTGTGTGAGAGGGGGTATAACCCTGCTGACAGAAATACTCGGCTTCATCTTCTGCCAGAACTCCATTGATTGTAAGAGTGAAATCTCTGTATGGGGATCCGGATCTACTGCTGCTGAACCTGTCCGGGGCTCCAGACTCACGTCTGGTCACCCAATAAAAAAGCAATGTTGGAGGCTGATCGGCTTTCTTCTGGTACCAGTGTATACCACTGTCATCAACTGAATCAGTAACATCAGAATTTGATTTACAATGCATGACCGCCTTCTCTCCTGGAGACACCGATATATATTCCGGAGACTGAGTCAGCACAATCTCTCCATAAGAGGCTTGGGAGGCAAAAAAGTCATTTTAATTAGTCGCAATTATAACAAACAAATATTATTATTATTCTTATGTACGGACCACAGTAATGACAGCTTGTGACAATGAAGTGAAAGGAGACATGCAATTAGTCATTATAATGATCATTTAAAACAGGATTCTAATATTGTTATAATAATGTTCGTTAGTCAATACCTATGAAAGGTTTCCATACCTTGTATAAGAGAGGATAAAAGACACAGAGTAGGTATGCCAGAGCGATCATCTTGATGATTTTAGATTGTAATATACAGATCACTGTTTTATTAAACTGTTTTATATGACGTGAATCCTCCAGGGGGATAACCTCAGAGGTTTTCTATGCAAATAAAGAATATATGCAAATTCCACTATAACAGATCCCTTGTGGCCTTTAAATAGAGCTTTTCACTCTGTATCTCAAAACTTTCAGTGTCATTGGTATAATTTGTGCTTTTGACTTTCCGGATACAAGGGGTGATTACTTCAATATTCAGTCAATGAAATAAAATGATTAAACTGAATTATCAATGTGTTCAGGAGCCATTAATTTCAATGGCCCCTGAAATTGCAGGGCGATTTTTTTTCACGGCAATCGTGCTGCAAAATCGCAAACAAAATCACAATGCGTGTCCCTCAAAAGAAGTTCCAGCGTATTCGGGTGCCATTAAAATGAATGGCACCTGAACATGCTGATAAGCGATTTCACATTTTTACAGTGTGATTTGAAATTGCAGCCAAAATCGTGTCAATTCCGCCTACGATTCAAAATGCTATATGGTAACAGAGCCTCATGATAACAGTTTAGTACAGTTTTTATTCCTGAATACTCCTTCCCTCCAAGACATATACTTATTATTATTATATTTATATATTATTATTATATATTTATATATTATTATTATACAGGATTTATATATTATTATTATTATTTACAGGATTTTATATATTATTATTATACAGGATTTATATAGCTTTAACAGTTTGCTCAGCGCTTTACAATATAACGGGAGACAATACAGCAACAATACAGTTCAATACAAGAGGGTTAGGAGGGCCCTGATCCTGGAGCTTACAATCTAAGAGATCTGTCCTTCTTCCTCTAAAATCTTCATAGTGCAGCCCACTCAGCGGTATACAGCCTCTTCTTCAGAAGTCTCAGATAGGATTGCATATCTTTGAAGCATCAGTGCAGTATTGGCGAGTAGGGTCATGCACAGCAATGCAATGGTGGCAAGATGGGTGCATGCCAGAGAAGAGTAAAATTTCTAACTCAGGCCTGGAGTTGTGGGGTGTGTGGATAGTAGAGTATAGAACACAGAAGGCAGAGCATGGAACTGAGTGCCCCTTTACTCACCATGATCAGATGCAGGTGGGGGCTCCTTTAACTCTTTTTCCTCAATCCTCTGTGTTCACACAATTGTCATGATTGCCACAATCCCCTGGGCTCCTGTTTCCCTTGCTCAGCAGTTCATGATGAGGCAGAGGTAGCTAGGCTTCTGATCTACAGCCAAGTGTATGCCCAAACAATGGACAAACAAATGATCACATCACTACAGCCGCAATAGTTTGAACTTCA